CTTCACTATACGTACTCTCACTGTAGGTACGTGACTTTGACAATGATCGTTGTAAATATTTGGAATTTGACCATCTGTTCTTCTAAGTATGAGAAATATAAGAAATATATTTTCCTTATTATTGTAATAGAGAACACAGATAACATTATAAGATTCATCTTGAAGCTCAAACTGTGTTAAACGGTACCATTCTTGTATTGGTCGCTCGCTGCTTCTTTGAGAATTTATTCTCATCTATAGCTTAAAAGCCAATGGACAAGCTTAAAATGAATTAAGGGACAATTTGAACTCAACGAAATTATTTAAGCCGACAAGTGAACATTTTAAGCTATAGGTATAAAAAGTGTCGACTCATTAAACTTTTAATGATTAAAAGCTCAGTTGAACATTTTAGTAAGCATACTGGACGGACCATTCATTTTCCGACCACTATAATAAATAAATTCCCACATACCTAATTTTATTTTCACTTATTCTAATTACGTTTGAATGTGTATTCTAATTCCGCAATCATATCTAAAAATAAGCGCTGTGTTTATGTGCAATAAAAAGCTTAATTATGTAAAAAATTGGCATTCATTTTTCTTTAAACTAAATAAATCGTTGATGTCAAGCAAAAGCGTAGAGGAAGGAACTACATATTTCAAACTGATCTTTCCAAGGAATGTATAAAGCAATTTGCATAACCGGCAAAAGTGCACCTACAAAGGTGAGCAATAGTAAAAAGAAAAACTTTGACCCTTCGTGTTCGCAATAATTTCAAAATGGCACCAAGGGATGTCAAACTATCCCTTTAGGATTGTGACAAAACCACACCGGTGTTGTTAATGGAGCGTAACTTATTTTCGGCGACCTTAATCTTATAAAGGGAGAGGTGACCTTACTAGTATGCATCTGATCATTTTTTCACTTTGCATATTTGCGGTTTACTAGTTGTTAACGCAAGGATTAAAGTTTCTAGTGCACACTAGTTAATATTTCTACTTGTGCAGCAGCCAGACGTGCACCTTTTATCTTTTGCCATCTATAAAATCTATCTCACACCTTCTATCGAGTCCAAGAGACGTACAATTGTCGCGAATGACTAATCCTGCGACTGCGCCTTTATTTCCTTGTAGGTGGAGCTGCCTTCAGTTTTGAATACACCCAAGTGGAATAAAGACGCGTTTAGTGCGGTGAATTTCGGTGTTATTTCACCAAAATGCTGCGTTTAACGACGTTTATTCTTGTAGTTTGTCTCTTCGATAGACTTTTAAGCTCTTCACTGGTAAGCTTTAACTAGATTTTATCCATTTTTCCATCTCTTGCACCCTTAATTTCATGTTGTAAGTGCCATGAGGAGGCGCATTGATTTTTAAGGTTCGTTTCAGCTCTGTAAATATGAAAAGAATGTTTAACTAAATTTGTAAAGAACTTATTTTTGGGCATGTATTCACTTACATTGGATAAATTAAATGCAATTAAGCCTAATCTGTAAATTGGGACTTTTAATCCAACATGAAAATTGATGCATTTTAATGTTGTATTTGACTTAAAAATAAAAGGGAATCCTTTGGAGGTTTAATGTTTCGGGGATCCTTGGACGCGATCCAATGTTTAATATTCAATGACATCTTAAACTTCATTGATCTACGCGAGCAAGAAGCCGGATTTTTGAAATAATTTATAATTGCATATTGAATTTGTTGCGTTGCGCAATCGTGAGCAAATGTTTAACCGGAACCCAATTTGATAGAAATTTACTGCGTAAGTTATGCAATCGATTATCAACGATGAAAGTCTTCCATGCTACAAATTGCAAACTGAGATGCGTTGTCTAAATAATTCTACTTCCAAGGAGTGGGTGCAACATACCGGCTATTATTGTTGGAGCGTCTGTAATACAATTGATAATGATTGTTTATTAACTATGCCGGTATTTGGGTTAAATGAGATAAAAGAAACAAGATTCATTCATTCAACATATTTTTGTTTATCGGTTACTGGATGATAATATTTTAAAAAATCGCCAAACCATAAACATTCCATTGTAAAATTTCACTGGTGGAGTTAATTTTGATACAAAAGGATTAGGATAAATAGGTTAAAAGTCGCCTTATGTGGTACCTCGTTTATAACTGTCATAAATTAATTTCCTCCTCACTTAGGTCGTTGAACTTATCACAGTGTAAATTGCAAAAAATGTGAATATCAAGCTAGGTGCATATAAAATTGTTTAATTAATTAAATGTGAACGATAAAAAGGGCGGTCACTAGTTTTCCCAAGATTTTTACGATTATTTAAGGGTAATAAAATCTAGTCAGGAGAATGAGTCAATAAATTCTACGTTTCGTTTGACTAAACTCCTATTAATCAATAATTGGGTTCTTTGTGGTAGACTTGGTGATGTCGACACAGAGTGAAGGCAACTAAGGGCGGTTAATGATACGACGAAGGTTTGCACTTGTATTGAAATTGAGGTGCAAATCAATACTCACTCATGACCTCTCAGCTTAATTTTTTTAAATGCGCCCAATTTTTGGTAGATAATTCCCAATATTTGCCTGCGTCTTAGAGAATAGTATATAACTGTATAAAATCAAATGTATATGATAGAAGTTATTAGATACCTAAGCATATTCCTCATTAAATTCGAACATTATGCAATATGGTTTATTTTTTATTGTTTGTGTAAGCTCATTAATTTGGGATTAACTTCAACATTCAGGATACAGTTATATTATGCGGGTTCCAAACTCTAAAGTTGCTATTCTCAACTTTTTGTTGTTTGTCATTATCTACAATGATTTACAATTAGCGTGTAAGCCAAGGGGACAATGCGTGTTTCCACAATAAAAATAAATCTTTTCAAGTCTTAAAGCAACTAGCAGCAGGCAATATTGTTTTTAAGGACAATAGGTGGTCCGAAAATAAAGAAAATTTATGTTGCACAAAAAAATCGTAAATAAATTACTCTATACAAAAGATGTACCTATTTTTCGCTTGTATATTTTCCGAGATATTTTCCAATCGTGCACCTATATTTTACTTGCAACTTCAATTGTTTGTCACTGAATTTAAACCGATAGCAAAACATGCCTTCAATGTATGAAAATTTTAATGTTTCATAATAAATAATTATAAACTATTCCGTTTCCAAGTCAGTATCAAGTCAGAAAAATCGTCGGTTTCCCAGCACTTACGTGTTCTTCATACTCTCAATATTCATGTTTACCCACATTTGCCTCAATTTTTGCATTCAGTAGACATTTTTAATGAATCGAGTTCGAACAATCCACGCGCTATAATTATTTTTCTACATATCAATATCGACGTTTTTACGCTCTACTTGTGCAACTTGCAAAATTACCCACTCATCTGGCAGTCGATACTTGCCATTACGTGTATATAAAGTTTGATAGTTTATTGGAACCTACATAGGTAGTTGTACAATGTACAGTCCTAATTTTACTAAGTTCCGTTTACTTACTTGAAATAATCACAGTCCAAGAAATGAGGTGCCAACTACAGATGGTACCTCATTTTTTTAAAACTGAATTTTTCTGTAATTATGTACCTATTGGTTTTAATGAAGTTCTATAGTTTACCCCACAAAAAACACTTTTACTTATTTCAAACTGAAATTTTCAAAAATCCGATTTTCGACTGAGATTCTATAGATACAACCAAACACCCAGTTATGCAGTTGTACATTATTTCAGAAAAGTGATTTTTCATTTAGGCCCCAAATGTAGAAAGCTATGCCAACTTTTGTTCAAACTGCAGCCTCCCTCATTTTCCTCGTCATTTTCAAAAAGGAACAATTTCCTTATTAGTTCTATTTGAGGTCATAATTATGCTATAGCTGGAGATATCTGGTAGATATGGTTTTCATAAAAGTTTTGTTAGGTTATTATTTTATTAGCAATGGTACCATGTTCTCACGGTACCTCTTTTGTTAAAAACTCAATATTTTTTGTTAAAAACAGCATGCGCAAACTGCTGAACGCATGTTTCAAAATTACACCAACCGTACTGCAGTTTGTATCCCATTATATTTTAAGTGGTTTTTTCAGAGAGACCCAAACAAACTCTCTTATAGCGGCTCAATGTTCTTCAGTATTCAACTGCGATGGAACTATCTGCTACGCTTTTTTAATTTTTCTTGAAAATTCCCCTGAGCTGCAGAAATCTCTTTTTTCGATTCATCCTTTTAGCTTTGGAAGGCGCTATTATGGCCACTTTCTCCGTCCATCCGTCCGAGACAATAACTACTCCTATAGCTTTCAAGATATTTAATTCGTTCTTTTTGCATTTGGTAGCTGATAGCTCTGGCACCTCAACCAAGAAAAATCGGGATGATTAATGTGCGCATGCGCAGACTGCCAACTTTCTTATTTATTGTGATATTTTTTTGAAATTTTAGCCTAAGATTCTTTTAGTAAAGGCGAACATATCGCATATTTTAAACATCATGCTAAGTTTCTTATTTAGAAGAATATTTATGCCATAACTTATTTTCCTTTGTACACATAAATAGTTCGTTACATGACCTTTTGGGACGTAGTGATCAATTCATGGAAAACAGGCTAAAGTTACTCACCTGAAGGCGAAAACTTTTTTTTTTTTCATTTTTTTAACTTTAAGGCGTCAGTAATTAGTGGTGGTAGATATGGAGAATACGCTAGATAGGAAACGAGATAGGAAAGCATTTGGAAGCTCATTTTGTGTAATGTATGTGAGTATTTCCGAATTCTTTGGCCATTTATGGAAGTCGTTAGCTATCATTGGAATTCCTCTGAAGTATTTCACACTGGGAACTCAACCACTATTTTTTATAATCACGCACTGATCGAATTAGGTCTTGCTAAGGTGGTGTAGCGATTCAGAGTTTCAGTGAAGTCACGAAAACCTTTGTCAACTTTCTTGAAATCTGTTTGGAAGATCATGAACTTGTGTGCAGCTTCTGTAGAAGGTCTTTCGAACGCTGGGTGAATAAACACTTCAGTTAAGACAACAGTTTCGGAGCAAAACAGAGTTTAATGAATTTTGTGAAGTGAGGTCATTTTTAGCAGTAACAAAAACTGAGAGGAAACACCAAGTAACGAGTAAAGCTGTCATCATCGGCAAACAGTTACTCATCCAGCATCCTCAGTGGAAGGTGGCGCAAACAGGTTCGAGAGGGGTTCTCTTCACCGTAGTCCGCAAGAAGAGGGACGCTGCAGAGATACCGTCGATTTATGTTTTCTTTTGTAAACATTCTCTTATAGTCATTTCCTGTTGTTCCAATAATATTGCACTGGCACTTCTTCCAAATTTAACAAATATACTTCTTATTAGGGCCAGTTACGACCTCGGATGGGCATTAAAAAGGATTGTATCAACTTACACCTAAATTATTGGACAATCGTTCCTTAAAATAAATAATGACATACCGGTTGGTCCACCCTCGACCATAAAACCTACACGAACATTAATTGAGAGGTAAGTTTTTGGCTTCTGTCTTCGATGTTCCACACACAAGTTCAAACAGAAGTTCTGTAGTTTCATTGAAGCGCCTGGAAACTTGTAGGAAATATGTCGAAGTCCTGTTGAGGTAGGTGTATTGAAGTCTTCCAACAGTGCAGTTTGTTTATATACGCCTGCGTACCGTGAATTATCCCTTTGTAGTCGGGTTCATAATTACTGCTATGGTAAATGGAAACGTTCAATCAGAAACAAGTAACTATGTCATTCTTGTTGTAAATTTTGACAGGTTGCTATTTTTCTAAATAATAGGGACGCAATAAGTCAACTTCCAAATTTTCTATTGTCCTGACTACGAAAGAATAAACACCATTTGAAAACAATTTCCATGGCGCGCGATTCCTAGGGCACAGAACGGAATTTACTTACAATGATTTTTTGTATTAATTTATTTCCAGGTCCGAGGCTGGATTTCTCTTTGGCGAATCTTAACTGATTGTGCCCAATGATAAACATTTTTAAAGAATATCACCCTATACCCGTACCCGCTCCAAACGTCAGCTGCGTTTTGGAAATTACCGGTAATTTCTAGTTTTTCTTAGCCTAGGTTTATTTCGTTATGGTTCTCGATCTTACTTGTCCCCCTTCCCAAGATTCTTTTCGTTCTCCTAATATTTTCCCAGAAATTCGCTTATTTACTTCATTGCCTTAAAAATTGCCATGAGTTTCCTTAGTAGTTTTCGCAATTATTGCCTAAAATTTCTGCCTTTCAAGTCTTATTTATTCTCAATTTTTATGCCCTTGTGTATTTTAAAATGTTCTTACCTAGGTTTTGCCGGAATTTCCTGGATAAATCGTCAGTTAGTTCAAATGACACTTAAATTAAACTTAAATGATAGAAAAATGCGTGGAAAATCTATTAAAAAATTCATCGAGGGTGTCGAAAGAGCATATTTTTCATTCAACAGTGAGCGCTCAGTGTCTGTTTTATGGAACAGAAGTTTGCATCAGAAATTACTTTATAATTTATTGATGTTCCGGGAGCAAATCTATTCTGATTGCCTATTTTCATATTTCATAAAGAAGGGTGCCCGAATTTAATCACCCCACAATCGTAAATGTGCGCGCTAATTGTTACATAAACGTTACGTAGTAGCACTATTTAAACATTCACGTAGACAATTACGGTCGGATTGTGCTCCATGAAATTTGTCTTTTTCGTTTTAAAACTTACAAAAATGTCCCGCGCAAATCAAACTGATGCGGAGAAAAATAAACTCTTCCGCACGAAGAACTCAATAAAGATTGAGCGCCATGCCAACTTGAAAGTTTTTTTGTTGCTTTTATTTCAAAGCTTTAAGATTGATGAAGGCGTACTCACTCAAATGCTGCTAATGTAACTTTTCCAAAGTTTAAACCTAAATTCATTTATTAAATTTCACTTATCCTTGTTTTCGTCGATAATCTTTGATTAATGTTAATGCATAAACAAACTTTTCAAATTTTAAGTATACCAGATTCAGTCACTTCGAATTATGGTTTCGACTTTATTCGTCTATTTTATAAGGGAAAATGACTTACGTTATTGAAACGGACGCAGTTGGCGATTTTTAAATGTAAGCATACAATCAAAGGAACAAGATAAAGGAGAATTGAAACTATGTATGATATGATCACCAAAATGTCTTTAAGTGCTAGGTATAACGTTTCAGCGATTGAAATTTGATTGCATCAAGATGGATTATTGTATCAGAATTAATTTCGAAAATTCACTGAATGCAAAAACTTGTTTTGCTGACTATAACATAAAATATAGCTGTGTTTCTTGTTTATTTTATGCTTTATGTTATTCTATTTAAGGAATTTCTATACGATTTGTAACCGAGTCATAAATTTTATTGAAAAAATTGTGCACGAAATTATTTGTGACATATCAGCGACTCAGCATGTGTTTTATGGCGGATACTCAATATCTACAATATCAAATTTGGTTTATCCGCAAATGGCTGGACCAAAACACTTTTTTATTGTCCAAAAGAAACAAGTGGCATTGACGAAAGTGCACTCAAATGTAAACTATTAATTTTTATGTTGATCTTTAGTATTCTAATCTAACTTATAGCTCACATTTTGCAACGTGCAAGGAAGGACAAGTACAAAGCGGTACAAATTAACCCGAAAAAAGGTTTCGCAGTTTCACGAAAATTAGTTCAGACGAAAATTGGAAACGCTGTTATCCCTTATTCATGTGCCACATATATATTTTATATCCTTCCATGCAAGCCTGTTACACATCAGTTCGGTTTCCGATTTATTAATTTTGCGGATCCTGAAGGAAATATTAAGATCTTCCTCATATAAAAATCGCTTGGATTTCAATTGCTTTTGTGCGTGCGGGCGCGTATTTCAAGAATGTTCGCTTTTAATTTAACGGCGAGCAATATATTTGACAAGCTGCTTAATTATTCATTACAGTACTTTAATAGACTGTAATGGCGTTAAACGACAACTTTAATTTCCGTATGGTCAATAAAATGATTGGAGATTTATTTTGGCGAAAGTGAAAAATGTGAAGCGTATTAAATGAAATTAGCATACTTTTTAATTTGGATTTTTGCCAGATGCAACAGTTTCAGGTAACTTTTTTGTTGTCTAACGACTCATATACAAAAAACAAAACATTTTACCCGCATCACAAAGCGGCAGGTGCGCCAGGATGGGGGTTTTTGTCATTCATCATTTGTAAAAAATCTGAGTTCGTAGAGAAAAAACACAAAGATAAAATCGTATTGTATATTGCGGAATTTAGGAGGCTCGTGTATCGCGACGGGCGTAAAATTAACGACCCCTTTTCGCTTGGAAGCTGGTGAAGGTGTTGATATTGGCAATAATCAGAAAAATGACATCGGCAGTTTTCGCGGTTTGCGTGGATTGTGTGGAATTGTGTACATTACGGAGGATCAAGAGACATCGAAGTACGTATTGATCCAGGACCTCTCCTTCAACATATCAATTAAGGGTTGTATTTTATTATTCGTATCTGTATAAATTTTTTGGGAGTATGCCGGCAGAGGCTATAGGTATTAAATTAGTAACAGAGCTTATTTCGAGTTTTGACCTAAAATCAAGTTAAAACGCTGGCCTGAATAAAAAGTGACTTCGAAGTGGTCCCCTTATTGCAACTGGAATATCTACCTACGTTTCAGTATACAATGAGTATGATTAACGATCTCCAGAATGGAAGGGTTCGCAAGAAAATCCATATTTCGAAATAGATTACACAGTTTTTTGATGTATTAATCATGGATGAATATTAAGGCTTTCCTATTTCTCGAGTCTGTGAACCTTTTGAAAAACTGGACTTTTTTATGACGAATCCTGAGCGAAATCAATAACGGGAAAGTTGAATGAGACAGCTCACGTTATATCTTTATGCTTTGAATATTTACGCTTTTCAGATTTTATTATATGTTTGTCAGAAATCGAATACCTACGTTTTGTAATGAAATTTTTTTGCTCCAAATAATTCTTGCCTAAATTTTCCTTTAATTGAGTTGAAATAATGCTAATGCACTATAGTCAACTTGCCCGTAATTTTTATTGAGCTTTTTTTTGGTCGTTTTTAAGTTACATGCAGATTGAAATACGGCGCTCGGTGTCATTTTCTTTCTAAATTGAATGAAAAGGGTCTTCAAATGTTGCTTCCGGAATTCGGATATACAGAGTCGTTTGTTACCTGTTAGGTACGTAGGTGGGCTGTTCACAAGTCGTTTTCCAAAATGTATTCTTTAAAATCGGATGTGATGTCATAATTCATCTTCCGCAATGTGCTGGTCGTACGGGTTTAGCAAGATTTAAATATTAAAATAAAATAGTAGCAGAGATCCACTATGACTAGAACATTCTATTAAAATAATTGCAAATTCAGCTTTGAAATACTGCAAAAGAAACAGTTGCGCAATGGTACATAACACGTACTCGTATATTTCCCAAATAAAGCTAGAGATACGAATCAATATTGCGTAGGTATTTAAATTACATTAACTTTGTTCAGTTAACGGAACTCCATTTACTAAATTCCGAAAAAAATAAGGTAGATTAACATTAATGAACATTACACTGTAATATATAAAGTGTGGTAATTTATCTCGCTTTCGGGCGTATACCTTTAGGCAATGTGTACTTACTCGTAGATAAAAATGCCCAACACTAATGTTTGCCCCATTTTATTTAGAGCCACAAAAAAGATTAATTTATAGTCGAGATGGTCTGGAAGACCGAATCTCTTATCATTAAAAAGATGAAACAATGCCACGCTAGAGTGGAAATACTTCACATTCTTTGTTTCTAGTGTTTACACGTCCTTAGGTACATCGCTTCGTATACTTTTCTGCGACAGCTTATTAAATTAGGGAAAATGACATTTTTTATCTATGATTTAACGTAAGCAATCACGAGAGCAATCATAAGATACTGATTTATTTACAAATGTGCTATCATGCGAGGGTTTCGAGTTGTCTGGAATCTCACGCAAAAGGCAGAACGAATTTTTACCTTACACGGTAAATAAGTTTTAGGCCTTCGTATTTAATAATCTGCTTATGGAATTAGACAACAAATTTATTAGTTATACTGTGGGAATTTTTAACTTTTAGAATCAAAACAAGTTGACTACAAATATCACTTTAAATTTAATCTCAGTTCTCATTGTTTAAATTTGTACATTATTAAAACACTTTTTTGGTAACTCCGATTGCAAATCGATGTATCGTCAAAAAAGCGACTCATGGACCACGGCGAATCTCAATCTGCAACCCTTATCGGATTCGCGGTGGAGTTCGCTGGGCCGTCCACACTTGGTGCGGCATGGATATCGATTCCAAAGCACAGACGGCTGCTAAAATTCAATCATACTCAAGAAACTATAGGAACTAGGTATTTGATTTTCGCATGCATGAACAACATACTTGGCGATTTCGCAAGGTGTGAATTTTTTAGTAGGGTGTATCTAAAAACCATTTTAAAGCTTTAAATGCATTATTGTTTGGTGCAATTTGCACAGAAAAATTTAAGTAGAGTTTAGCGGAAACGCAACCGTTGTCGCAATAATTGTTGTCATTGATTTAAGTATACATTTTTCGATACAAATGGCTATAAGAGTGTCCACACCAATTTTCATGAGTCTCTGGTCATTTTTTTGTCCGGTAGCTATTACGAATTTCCAAAAACTATCTTTGGTTTCTTTTTCAATTTTGTTGCGACCAAAATTTAGTTCCTATTTTTCCTTTAGGGACGAGCTACCTTGCGATACCAAAAGAAAGTAAACAAGTTAAAAAGTCAATTATGCAAACATAAATGACGAGGGCGTATTTTCCTTCTAATAATATTAATGCTAGGACTGGGAAAAAATACCGGCAGGGACGAGATCTTTACCCCTTCTCTTTCAAAAGAGCCGCCTATCGTCGAAGTCTAATACAGTTTGTGGAGCGTATACAAATACATACAAATAATTTTGAAATTGGCATTAGTTTTATTTTGTGATGAAATTTTGACTGTTCATTAATTATAGCGTTGAAATTTGGCTTCAAATTAGTGGAATAAATTCGCAAAACGATCTCAAGATGTTCCTCAGTCATCCTGTTCATAAATTTGTTTTTACGAATTTAGATGACTGGTTTGATTAACCGCGGGCCGAATCGAACCATGTTGGGGGCCGAATTTGGCCCGCGGGTTGCTATTTTCCCATCTCTGATCCAGCTACTGTCTGGTAATACAGGAAGTTGGCAGCAACTTTCGCATTTTCACGGAACTTGCATTTTCTGATTCAGCTTCTAATTTTCGTAAGGTTAGTAAGTATATACGGAACTTTTTAAAAAACTTATCTAGAACTATTGTGCGATAAGAATTGGCATTAAAAATTTAATTTTGTTAGTAATGATTGGTGTTTTTATTCAATGATACCACGGATATATTGTTTGTGTATTATATCTGCGCTCATTGGATTGCGATCATTTCAGGTAAACGAACCGAACTATTACACAGCGTTGTCACAATTCCCTTACCTGCTTCTATTGTTGAAGTTGAAGTACTTAACTTTTAACGAAATTGTAGGTAAATTTCTTCTCTCCTTGAAATAGATGTATTCGAGGATGTATTGTATTATTATCGGTACTTAACGGTACCCACCAGTGTTATGATAGGTTTCTCCAACTTGGGCCCTTTGTGGCACAACAACATATTTGGCAACTCTTCCATAAGACCAATACTGAACTCTAAGTGTGAATCGCACTATAGAACTATTATGGATGCAATTCAATTAATCAATCTTTACTAGACGCCAAAATGGCAAAACTTTCTACAATATGAGTTATCCTCAAATGTAAAATGCGAATTTTTCGTCTCTTTTCTTTAGTATCCCACGACTATCTCTTCTTCTCTCTTTCAGCATCAAACTTCTGCTTCTCGATATCTTTTCCACCTCACCCTTTTCTATTCTTCCTCTCTACATATTCCGCATTTTCTTTCTTCTCTTTCCCTCTCCGCTCATGTCCACATCTGAATCTTGCCATTATTTTAATTCCCTCCCATAAATATTTTGCTAACCACCCCCTTATTACGGGCAGGGACAATCTCGCCGTCGGTTAACTCGCCGTCACCGGAAACAAAATAAAGATTATTTTTTTTTTAATATTTAAATCTAACACTTAGATGTCTATAACTGCAATCAGTTTAGTCATATAATATTATTTAGCAATCTCGTTTCATCATTGAGATGCTGTAGTTATTTGCAGTGTTGTGTAAGATCCTTTAATTCTGGATCTAGATAGAGATCCAGATACATTTAAAAATCATGATTTGATCCAGATCCAAGAGTCCCCCAAAACGATCTAAATCCTTTTATCGTATGCAAAATAGCCAGAAAAATTGTACCTAAACCGTTGTGAAAAAGACCTTCCTAGAAAATTAATAACCGCCTACACCCTTTTAAGAATTCACAACAGTTGTAAATTATAATTGCACTTCGGTTTTCGTGCTTGGACATCAAAGTATGTTATCCTTTCTTTCTTCTAATGCTGACAGACTAATCCTTTACCTGTACCCGTCGTAAAATACACGGATTGATTGATTGATTGATAGTGATATTTCGGAATATCTTAGGGGGTTAGCCCATAATTATGAAATATAAATGTGTAATGTATAACCAAAAATATTTTTGTAATTTTAGAGTGTTTTGTTTGATAAGAACAAACTGATTGCACTAACAAACATTTAGTAGTATTTTTTATTATTTATTCTCCTGACGGCGACTTGACCGACGGCGAGTTTGCCCGACGGCGAGTTTGTTCGACGGCGGGTCGGCGACGGCGAGTTGTCCTAGACCCCCCTTATTAACGTGCTCCTAGCGAGCTAGAGGTGCCTGTTCGTCTGTCCGTTAGCACGATATTTCAAAAATGAATGGGCCGATTTTACAAGGCCTTTTTGACATCTCACATTTAGGAGCTTTGCTATATTGGTTTAATTTCACCCTCTGTTGTTGTATTTGTACATTCGGGTTCCTTTTTGTCAGCTCATTTTCCATTTTTCTCCTACTCTCCTCCTCTTTTCCACCTTAACCTGTCCATATCCGTTTCTTTCATAATATTTTCCTCTTTGTTCTTCCTACACTACTTTTGTGTTCATCCTCGTTGTCAAGCATTCTTTTACCCATTCGCTTTCCTTTTCACTTTTCTCAAACCTTACCATCCTACGTCCCGATGCTTATCTTGATCTTCTCCATTTTTGTTTCTTCCTCTAATATACAATTTGGTGTCCTTCCATTTAGCCCTAATACCCATTTATAATACCTTCTTTGTATTCCTTCCAGTCCATCCCATTCCTTCCACCCTCACATTTCCGCTCCATACGTGAGCACCCCTGTCACTATTGCATCGAACAAGTATTTTCTTAGTCTGAAATTGTTCTTGAAACTCCTCTTTCCTATTTCCCACACTTGTCTAATCGTTACCACCTCCTTTTTCTTTAGTTAGATTTGCGCATTTGCTCCAATATGCTCTGAATCAAGAAAATCCGATGTCGTGTGAGTTTAATCCACTGTTTTGATTGCATCTATGATTCTGGTTTTATAATTATGAATTCCTGTTTGATCCATGATAGTGAAAGTCTCTTGAATTCAATCAAATTATAACTACTCGTTCACAAGAGATGCTCAGCCTTCCTAATATGATTAACTAATGGTTTAAAATGATGGAACCAACTACATTATTATTATACTTCGTGATTACTAATAAGTAATAAACCACGTAAAAAGGATTCCGGGCATTTTCAAAGTATTTGGACACGTTACATAATTGTCTTTTGGAAAAATTTGCTATTACATTCATGCACGGTTTAAGAGTGAATTGTAGAAATAAAAATAATGAAGAGAAGAATCGACTTGTTCAATGAAGGGAAGGAATTCAGGAAAGTAGGTCTCCCTACTCCTATTGTAAAAATCGCATTGTCTGAAAACTATTATAATTCGGCGCTTAATACTGCGTAAAACGATCACGCCCAATTTCATTTTCCTCGGATAATTACGAAGTAATTTCCGAAATTGAGGGAAATAACCTTTCCAGTTTAGACTAACAAATATGATTGAGTATTGATTAGCAACAGAACACTTATTTCTTCCTCAGATAATCTTTACATTTGCAATAGACACAAAAAGAATTAATTCCTTTAGAGCGGTCCAAACACGGAAATTTAATTTCTAATTTACAACAAAACCCGGGGATTTAATTGCTGAAATTTTTTACTTGCGGCTTTGCTAGTGCTACCGCAAAGTATACGACGTTTTTTAATTATAAAATTTTCATTTAAAAACTTTTCCTTTTTGAAATTTCTTAGATTCTAAGTGCAGGGTGTGCGACTTCATTGTTTGAATTTTAATTTTTAATTACTCTCTAGAACTTTCCAGATCCCTTCTATAATTTCGAATTAATTTCGCCGAAGTTAATGAGGTGTATATTTTGTCCATTTACGTGAGCGATGAGGCTCGTATGCAAATTGCCCATCCCATTGATGCGCTTTAGCAATTTAAGAGATAAAAGCCCGCAAGTTTTCATCTTTATCTTCGAAAGTTCATGGAGTGTGTTTTTTCTATGATTTAACTGAAACTGTTATACTCACGAACTTCGGGACTTTAATCTGCGAGCTTAAGGTGGGAACTTTTTCAAGATCGCAGGCTCAACGACGGGATGATAGGTTTAATTATTCAGTAAGCTTTTAGTTTTGGAATAAATAAGCGATGGCTCAGTAAATGTTTTATTTCTCCGCAATCATGGCATTTTGCCACCGTCACCGTGGGTATTAATTGGGTGACGTTTTCCTTGTCACCGGAATAAAAAAACCGAAACTGTGAAATGGATTGACGATATAAACGTGGAGAGCTGTAATAGGAATTAATTTTATCCTTAACGCTTAAAGGCTTTCTTTTTGTGTTAAACGTGTAATTATCGTCATGTCGTAAAAACTGACACGAATTTCGCTTGGGAACGAACAGGAAAAGAAACGAACGCAGAAAACAATATTTTTCTTTAAATTAATTTTTAATACTCGAGGGATTTTTCTCCATATTTCTTTTTTGGTGTCTACAGAATTGACATGGTCTTTATTGTCGATAAGCAAAAAGAAAACCATTGCGAACTTCCAACTTCATTATTTCATTTGGACTTTGAATATATAAATTGAAAGATTTGGATATAAAAGCATATTTGTACTTAACTTAATAATTGGACAATCGTCTTCTGGTCTTTTGCTAATAACTATTTGCGATAGGTACTTTTTCTACTGCGCTTACGGCCTTAGATAGTAATAGTAATAGTAATTGATTGTGTTAATATATTGAAGAAATGCTTACACTAGTCCGAAAATCGTATAAAACATAAACATAAAATACATGAAACATATAGAACAAGATTGCATAAATAACATGAAAATTCATTTAGAAAACAAATAATTAAAAAATACAAACAACAAAAAATAAGTTAAAGTGTTAAAGTCTTGAGGTCGCCCAATAATTATATTTGGAATGTTGCAGCTGATAATAAATAAATCTGAACTTTATAAAATTGTTTTTAATACAAAGTATGATATTGACATAACACCAAAGTAAAAAAGATATATAAACAAAACGAGTCTTTATGCACAAAGCACAAGCAATGAAGTAATTAATTATCCACACCAACTGTAAACAAGGGCAGTACATCGGCGCAATGATTGACGGCTACCTTGTATGCAGTAAATCCATCCCTGTTTTTAATATCAAGAGGAAATTGAACGTTAATTAGATATTTTACCAAAGAAGGGTAACATCGTAAAGCTGCTAAGTGGAGTGGTGTATTTCCATCCTTATTTGTGACATGTTTTTTGGCACCTGCTTCTACCAAAAGGGAGACAATTTCTTCAAGGCCATTCCATGCGGCCGTAGTCAAAGGCACTTCTCTGTCTTTGTTGGGGATCTCGGTGTCCACCTTCATGTCTAGAAGTAACCTAACCATTTCGACGTCCTTTTTAACCACCGCCAAATGAAGAGGTGTGTTGTTATCTCTATTTTCAATGTCCTTGTTTGCTCCCCCTTCTATTAATAGACGAGTAATTCCTCTAAAACCCAGCCAAACTGCTGCGAGGACGGGGGAATCTCCGTTGACACTTTTCCTGTCCTTGTCGACTCCTTGCGAGAGTAGTAGTTTTACCATTTCCTCGTCACTATTGAAAATGGCCAAATGAAGTAGAGTATTTCCATTTCGGTCCTGAACGTTCTTATTGGCGCCACGTTCTATTAAGCGGGAGACTAGTTGCTGAAGACCATTCGACGTGGCAGTCATGAGTGGAACACTTCCGTCCCCGGTGGCGGCCTCAACGTCCGCGTTCTTCTCAAGAAGCAGATTGACTAATTCTGTGTTATTTTTAATAATTGCAAGGTGAAGAGGTGTACTGTTATCTCGGTTTCCTCCGTTTACATTTGCTCCCCCTTCTAAAAGCAAACGCGCAACGTCCTTGTATCCCCACCAAACGGCCGTTACCAACGGAGTGTCTCCAATGTTATTTTTTAATTCAAGGTCAACTTTCTTTCCTATAAAGAGCTTCACCAATTCTCTGTCGTTGTTATAAACAACCAAATGAAGTGGAGTGTTACCATCACGGTTTTGAACATTTTTGTTAGCACCACCATCCATTAAAAGCGAAATTATTACTACAAATCCATTGAAAGTCGCCATAGTAAGTGGAACATCTTGATCCTTATTCACCGCTTCCGTGTCCACTTTCTTCTCGAGCAGCAACCTAACCATTTCGATGTTGTTCTTCGACACTGCCAAATGAAGAGCGGTATTGTTATCCTTATTTCCGACATTCCTATTCGCTCCGCCCTCTATTAGCAGACGAGTGACCTTTCTAAAACCCCGCCAAACTGCCGTTATCAGAGGGGTATCTCGAATATCGTTCTTAACTTCCAAATCAACTTTTTTGGCTATCAGCATCGTAATCAATTGCGCGTAATTTTTATGTGCCGCCACATGAAGGGGAGTATTTCCATCGTGATCTTTGACATTTTTGTTTGCTCCGCCGTCTATCAAAAGAGAGGCGACCTCTACGAAACCATTCCACGCGGCTGTAATGAGAGGAACGTCTCCGTTTTTGTTCAATGCTTCGGTATCTGCTCCTTTGCCAAGAAGTAACTTAACCATTTCGATGTCATTTTTTGTCACTGCCAGATGGAGAGGCGTATTGTTGTCTTTATTTTTCACGTTTATGTTCGCACCTCCCTTTATCAATAAGCCAGCAACCTCTCTAAAACCAAGCCAAACTGCCGTTATAAGTGGAACGTCTTGAATTTCATTGCGTGTTTCTATATCGACCGTTTTCGTCATTAAAAGTTTAACCATTTCCGGGTTTTTTCCATAGACGGCCAAATGAAGGGGAGTGTTTCCATTTCGATCTTTCACGTTTTTATTAGCTCCACGAAATTCCTCAGCTTCCACCAAGATTGCTACCACGTCCAAGCAACCTTTGTTCACGGCTACATGTAACGGAAGATCTCGTGCATTGTTTCGAATGTTAACCATTGCGCCATTATTAATTAACCATTGCACTTTATTTGTATCGCATCGATTGGCAGCAAGATGCAAAGGCACGGCGCCATTGGGATCTTGAGAATTAACATCTACACCAACAAATCGTCATGCTATCGAATTTAGCAAAATAATACGTACCGATAATCCTAGTGCTATTTTCAACTACGTTATCACTATCAGCAAATGACACAGTAAACATTAATAAGAAAACAACGTACATTTTGCGGTTACGATACGTAGCAGTATCACGAATCAATGCAAAAACCAGTTTGGAAGCATTTATATATGAGTCGGTTTCTACGATCGTCATAAGTGGTGTGAGAACGGAAAATCCAGAATGATGAACCTTGTTTGGGAAAAATATGTAATGTTCGTGTTATGGAAATAGGAGTTGCTTTTCTCCGAAGTTGTAGATATCTACTAATAAGAACAAGCGTCCAAGCCTGCACTTCTTAATTGTGATGATTTACTTAACGATTTAAACGCTTAGGCTTTGGCTTTAAAAGTGAATATGATAGATTGTGCTGTAAAGTGTGAAGAAGTTTTTAGAATCCTCTTCTATCAAAACTGTGTCAAGAACGCATCTGTAAACTGCTGTCGAGTTCTCCAACTCGTAAATGAGATGACATTAGACATTTTCTGTATGCCACCCTGTGTATCTTAGGTTTTAACAAAGTATTTGAATGTTCTGTAAAATGCTAATTATCTATACGAGGTGTCAATTTTAAAACTTGCCATATTTTCCAAGCTAAAGAAGATATTGAAAATCGCGCAAAACCGTTTCGGGGCTATCGCGGGGGAACCAGAATGACGGCTATGAGTGACAAACGCCCCCCCTCCTTAACACCCCCCCTCCCTCTTCAAAAATCCTAAATGACAGCCCCATACTTGTGACACATCGTTGGAAAGCTACTAAAAATTGCTTTCCAGTGGTACCAATAAAGTCAATATTATTAAGACAATTTAACAAAAAATTTTTAAAATAGTGCACACGGACGGCAGTACAAAACGATAAAGGATCTGAGGATCCTTAATAATATATTCGCGCAGGCGGCGAATATTACGCACTCTTATCGTAGAGATGGAATGTTAAATCGTAATTGATTGTAATTCAACAATTTTTCTTGTTTTAGTAGCCATGTGTAGGTGTTCTTATACAATATACAGGGGGAAATTTTGTCTGGAACACTGATTTATATACTGAAAACTACAACAACATGGTCGCAAGGTTACAGGGGGGGGGCATATTTTTTTAGTGGCACTGTTTCCGTAAATACCGATTGTTGGCGCCATAGCGGATTTTTTAAAATAGAAACACCCACTTGCGCATGCGCAATTCTGCCCAAAAGCTTTTCAGATCTTCGTTTTATGTCTAAGAATATGCGTACCATATTTTGTTCCAAATGGTTCAGCCGTTTAGCCGGAAATGAGAGTACAGATAGACCGACATCATCGAGATTTTGTTTGATTCGCATTCCTGGTGTTTCAAAACGTGTATTTTCGTCAAAAAAGTGGGGGGTCATTCTTTACCCCAATGCCTTAACAAGAATACAAACATGAAATAATTTTTAATTTCTGATCGAATGACACAAATAACAAGTCTGTAAGTGTCAGACAGACAGACAGACATCAAGAGCGCAAAAGTGCACTTTTTATTTGTTGAAAGTGCACTAAAAAAAAGTAATGATGGAATATAATGGTTCGATTATACCTAGTGTTTCAAATGTGATCAAGTTATTACGAGTACTGTGTTTAACCCCCTAATCGAGCCATGGCACCCACTACATGCATCGCAAAAAAACAGCCACAAACTAATTGGAATACATTCAAAATGTGTAGGTATATGAAGAAACCTTATTACCTCATAAAGGTGTCGTAACGAAAATAAATATAGAGGTGAACGTTACGCTATACAAGTCATCAGCATATAATGCGCTCATCATGTCACCAAGATTGAAAAAAATCCTGCTACGTATCCTTCGGCCATTACTTTTATCTCTCTTCCTTCGGCAAAGTCTCGTTCGAATGCAACACACAATGATCGCAAGTCATTTGTAGTCGTTTTGCTTCGCAGAGAATTTTTCGTGCAAGTATCAGGTGGTAATAAACATAAAACAGTGATTGGATTTTAAGTTAGTACACTTTTATGGTACGTCGAAATTTTAAGTGTCGCTTCGTGACTATATCAAAGTGGATCATAAAACGAAATTTTCGATAAATAATTGATTAAAAATTTATTAAACAAAGAGGCTCATTTACTTTGACGATTATTACATAGGATTTCGGCGAACGTTTCGTAATTACCATATTTTTGGAAATAGAGCCCGCGTTTCCTGTATTTTCCTTGTTTGGCTTACTGCTGCGCGGCAATAAAATTTTATACCGTTACAGATATAGGTATTTGTCAATATGTCATTGGTCCTTTGTCAGCAAACAAGTGGAAATGGGTATACGTCAATAAATTCAAATTTAACCGTATTTTCCCCCTATATAAATGTAACAACGCCTCGGGGAAAGAATTGCTATAGGTACACATTTCGGAGCCCGTGTTTTCTTTGTATATGCTCTAATCGATTTGCATTATTTTAATAGGTGCATAGTTTAAAGAGTATGTTACCCTAAATTTACAAGGGCTCTAGTTCCGAGCGGGTTCAGTTACATTTATTTAGATCATTTGCCTTTTCTTTACACGTCGAATGAGTGCGTGTAGGAATATTTAAAAATATTAAAGTGCACCTGTACGCCTGCTTGCCTGGACAGATGGTTGCGCGTTTTTTTGTCTGTTGAAATGTAATTTTAAGAAAGTTCTTCGTTTTACGGACCAGCTGACACCAATTGGGCGCTTTATAAAGCATGTAAGGACCTATAACCTCTTACATCACTGAAAAGAGCATTTCTTACTGAAGTGCAACGAATGGATTATTCGTTTAGCCTTAAGACCCCACTTACCTTGTCAGATCTAAAAGAATTTTCTGTATAAAATGCTTCGATAACGCTCAGATCATATATTCGGAAAATCTATTTTTCACATTAATCTGCAACAGTCTGAACGGATTTATGTACCTACTTTCCCAAGCTATAAAGTTCGTTTACAATTAGAACAGTGATGCATTGAAATGGTAAGGTCGGGGGACTTCATTCCTCATTGTCTTCAACGGCAAACTATTCGCATAAATCTTTTGCGGTGTTAATGAGAAATTACACGAGTCAATGTTTATGAATTAATTCCAAATACCTCAGTCTCGATGCAAAATTCTATATTAGAAAGGCCGAATTCTTTATTCTTACTAAAACCATTGAATAAAAACACTATTTTATTCAATGCTAAAACTTAATGAACAGTTTTCATTTGAATTGAGATGCATTAAAACTGGCCTTTAATTAAAATACAATTACGTATTCACATACAGATCCCAATTTGCTCACAAATGTTCATATCAAAGTGGTATCAGAAATGAGTACGTCAGTAATTCGTGAATTAATTTAATCCTTTTATTACTGTCGATTACTACATCTTTACCGAAAATTCCAAGGATATATACATATATTAATAATATTTCTATTTAGATTTATAAATCAATTTTGGAAAAAGTTCCGTAAATTCCCCCCAAAAATCATGATCATAGTTGTAAATGGTTCAAAATTTAAAATTTCTAAAGTAGGCTTTGTAAAGGTTAGTTACATTACCCGCGGCCAACTCGCTAACGTAATTTAATTACCCCTTACCTTTTATCTCCTGAAAATCAAAACTCGACACTCTGGTTTGATTGCTGACGAATAAAAAATACAAATTTCCAAATAAATAAATAGTGAATATATAAATTCGATCCAATTCCATTCTACATTTTTTCTGATTTAAAAATTTATGTTTCCTATAAATATTGAAATTGCAACTCCTACCTGGTGGTTACGTTTCGTCCTAATGTCCCGTGTCTAAATTTTTATCCACAATAAACTAAATTTTTTACACAAAATACTCGCCTTATGACTAAGGAATATTATCCAAATTCCCAACTAATTAAAAAATAACCAAATTCCTTTGTATGAATGAGACACAATACAAATTTGTTCCATGCAAAGCATTTCCACAGATCAGTTCGGTAACGATATTATGATTACGTTAAGGTTAAATAAACATCCGCTGCAAATTCTTGAATACAACCGATCAATACTTTATACTGTTCAAAAAATTAAAATAACTTACAGATATCGCTGGAATCGGTGTTTTTTAGGTTCTGGAAGAGGATGGGGCTAGTTCCGAATTTACGTAGCAAGGAATGGCACTTCTGTGTAGGAAGTGACGACGTACAGATAAACTCCACCACTATGTCCGAGTTGTCTACGAAACAGTCATTAGAACCGAGTCAACTTGTTGATGAGGTCTTCCAAAGACACATCGTCCGAGAACTAGAAGATGTACTAGAAGCAGGAATCAACCTCCAAACTCACCTTGGACATCGCCGATGGAACGGATGGGACTTACCGATTCTGCGTGGATTTATGGAAACTTACTGCGGTTACTGACTTATGAAAAATTGCCACTGGCGATTTATGTCCTTCAGTACTCGTTCTCTGCGGCGATCTGTCTTAACCTTCTCGGCCCGGTGTTCTAAAAAATTACGTACTCGCCGGAGTTGTGTTACCCCAGCTACAATTTTGTCTGTTAGCAACTGAAGCGGCTTTATTTCTCTTCTGTTTACATTTTATTAACGAGCGACAAAAAGCGAGATCGTTATTTTGGACTTTCTGTCCGTCCGTTCGTCTGTGTGCATGATAACTCTGCCCCAAGATCTGCCAGCTTGTGTACGTGACAACTCGCGAACGGTTTCGAATTCTTCAAATCTTTTTTCAGTAATAGGTAGACATTTAGACAATGGTCAAAGAACTAACTGATTAAATTTTGATCATTTGGACTTTTTGTCCGTTCGTCTGTCCGCCTGTATACATGATAACTTACGAACGGTTTCAGTTTTTCCAATTCTGTTTTCAGTAATAGGTGGACAATGGTCAAGTGTTTAACAGATTAAATGTTGGTCAACCAGTCAACCAGAATTGTTGTAACTCGTAATCACTATCGGAATTCCTAACGTTCTCCGGAAGTTCTCATAGCTGCTTTCCTGTGAGATATTTTCTGGTCACAACAATAAACTAAAACTTAACAGCATTTACCGTGCGAAAAGCACAAAATCCAACTGACAATCGATCACAAACGTAACCACATTTATGCAAATTTCGACATGCAGTGACTGAATGACTTACGATATATGCGACTGAGCGTAAAGTAAGCATCACAGGAACCGAGGGGGTTAATCGACCAACCCCGACGGTTTTAACCTTATTTTGATTATTATTATTATCTGCTCTAGATGGTTTTGGCGATTATCATGGTCAGATTACAGGTTCTAAATACAGCTTAAAAACACTTTCGCCAGGGAATCCTCAAACATCACGATCATAAAAAATGAATTTAGGACAAAAGGAGAATACTGAGCGACCGCTTGATGGAAAGCTGTATTTCCGCTCTATTGAAACACTGCGTATAACAAAAAATGAGAAGAAAATGACAAAAGAAAGAAAGGTAAAGATCGCATTGCGTTATAAGTCTCAATGTCTTAAGGATAATTAAGACATACTCTTAATTTTCCATAGACTTTTTTCATCAATTTGCAACCGAACTCGCGAAGTTGTTCAAATGCGGCTGCGGTTTCTGCTACTGAAGAGCGTGATTTTTGCAAGCTTACCCTTCAAACGGATAACTTTCTTGAAATTACATTTCACACAAAAAACGCGCCTTCTGTCCAGGTAACCTTACTATTTTAACATGGGTGTACAGGTGTACTTTACTATAATTAAATACACCCGCTCATTCGGTTTGCAAAAAAAGCAAATGTTCTATAAATAAATGTAGTTTGCTCAAAATTCAAGGAAAATAGTTTTTAAATAAAGTACCAAGGCATAAAATAATGCAAATCGATAATAGGGGATGTACAAACAAAACGCGAGCTTCGAAATGTGTGCCTAATGCGATTCTTTTCCCAAAGTGTTGTTACATTTATATAGATAGTGGAATATAGGGTTAAATTTAAATTTATTGAGGTCTATTTCAAAGGACCAATGACATACTGACACATCTATATCTGACTACTGAAGGATGTAATTTTTGAAAAATTCACCTCTTTCAACCCGAAACCTTTTCGGACAGAACGCTTTGTATGCTGCTGTATTCATTCTTTGACTTAAAAGATATTTTTCGGCTTTTGAACTCATTTTGGACGCACTTCTGGAATTAAATTCTGTACCTTTAAATTTTCAAGATCACACACAAAAAAATGTCTTTTGTACATAGTGCCACAAGGTAGGTGATCAAAGTTTAGGGGAAACGTTTGGATTTGAGGCATATCGGTTCAATCTCCTCTTATACGGCAACCGCATGGGTAAGTATTGCCTTTGGTACTGC